TTCGTGTCCCTTTTATGATGTTTTATTTTAACCAAATTCGATTAGTTTAATCCAGTCAAAATAAATAAAATTAAGGATTATTTTTCGTATTTCCTGCTTTGATTCGACTAGAAATTCTTACCCGGCCCGTTAATAATTTTAATAATTATTCAACTGTATTCTATTCCATAATGTTCTCGTTATCATTTTAATTAAACATAATATACAATCTAATTAAATTAACGCAATCGTTGTAATAAAATCTAAATATTAACTCGGTACTACTTCACTTGGGATTGTGTTCAATTGACTAATTAAAATCTCTAGCCTCTGGGTATAATAACACCAAAACTTAAGTATGATACAATGCGATCATTGCCAAGTTCAGTTTATAATTAGTCACCAATTCTTTTTTTTGTTTGGTTCCATTGTTTTGTTCCTTTATGTGTATGACTTGTAGTTTCGGTTGTAAAGCGTTATGTTTACACCCAATAACCTAGTGTATTACATATATTTTTATTCAATATAGGAGGACACGGTAATTAATTATATTATGCAATATATGTCTTTATATAAAATGTATTATAATGGTGAGAAATGTTAATAGCCTATGTGTTTTCTAAAGAAACACCTATACTCAAATCGCAGCAATGATACGTATTAAAATAATTGTAGAGTAGTTAAATTAAAACGGTAAAATTGTATGTGAGAGTTTCGCTATAAAACTAATATATTATTATAATTTTTTTTTTATATTAACGTTTAAGTGTAATAAACATGCGACAACCCTTATAAACGGATTGAATATATTGTACTATATATAATAAGTATGATGGTAAGATAACAGTAGGTAAAGTATACAAACTATTATGTACGTATATATTGTACACAGTCTGTGTGTGGATAACCTTCGAGTTAACTACCGAGCAAACATATATATTATATATATGCAATAATAATGATCGTCTTATAGTTTTAATATAGCCGAATTTATAATACTAAGCTGTGGATATAATAGAAAAAAATAATAAAACAAATTGATAAGGCTATTATCATGTTTTAGATTTACTAATCCGCGGACAACTTGGTCAAGGCAATTTGATTTTCGTCTAAAGTTAGACTATTATGTTTTTTTCTGCCGTTCAAGGACTTTTAATTATTATTACAAATTTCACACAGCCCGTGTGTTTGTGTTCTCAAAAATAACGTGGATGGTCTCTGCGAAAATTTGAACGTATGCACCTACTTAAGTACATCTCGTGAGAATATCGGTTTACTACTTATAATATTGTTACCCAACGCACGACGATTTTACGTCATCGATTGTGTATTATTCATTGTTTATATTTGCAAAAACAAACTCCGTTGGTTTGAAAAAAATATATTATGTACGTTACACCAACAGTGTTTTTCTCACGTGCGTCGTATACTCTTGTTTGTTTCAATAATGTTAATTTTTGTTGGCTTTTTTTTGTATTATAAATGAATAATATATAATAGGTATTATAATATATTTATATAATTAACGCCAATGCTACTCTAGTAACTGCGTTCAATACAAATGTATTATGGTATATACTGACTAAATAGTAAAGTAGTATAAGAATCTAACAATCACGCTAATAAATAAACCGATGTATAAATCACAAGAGTAACACTGTGTGTTTTTCGTATCTAGTTGTGTACAAGTGCGGGTGGTGAGGAGAGGAGAGAATTAAAAGGAGGTGGCGAGTAGGAAGCCAGAAGTCGGTTTTACTGTATCTTTGTGTTTATAACTGGTGATTTCACAAGCGCCGTCGTCGCGCACTATTCGGTCGGCGCGGTGGAAATCTCAAGGAGAAATTTCCCTTGGCATACAATAATATTATTATATAGTATAATTGTACTCTTGTTAGGCACGCCTGCACCCACCACTAACAGTTGTTGCCGCCGTTCTTTTTTTTGATTTCCGGAAAATTTGGATTATTATCGTGTCAAGACTCAATGAGAGGTTGTGCAGAGGTGGTGGCGGTCCAGCTCGACTCCGTTGTCCGTGCATAACCTTAGCCCATATTCGTTTTTGTACGCGCTGGCGGCGACACGGACGTTTAAAAATGGATTTTATTGAAATCTATGTACAATTACATACAATGTGTCTATCCTCTGTGGTAGTATCGCTGGTTAATATGTAACTTTTTCAACTTTCAGGAAAAAACAATAAATAAATAATATAATTCTAAAATTGATTTCTATTATGATTATATTTCCTACGATACCAAACATTTTAATTAGAATCAAAAATTAAAGATATGTTAAGGAGTGGGAGAAGGACAAATCATTTTGACGTGAATACGTCTGTAAACTCGGTGCCATATACAAAAAAATTGATCGTTACCAAAACATCGTTTTAATTTTTGGCTGAGTGAGATCGAGACAAACCGTAATAGTGTCATTTGATAGATCGGGTTAAGTTATCAAATGTTCTTAGTCAGAATTGCGTTTTACGGGAGGCCCTAGGCGGGAAGAGGGGACGACGCAAAGGATGTTTTTATTTTTACTTATGCCGGGTTGTACCAAATATAATAGTTAAATTTTGTTATCAATATTTTGCTTTAAAGCGGTGATAATGGAAATGTGCGTTATCAGTTTATCATTGATTAGACCCTGTATGATAATAATATTAACTTCTGCTGTTGATACCATTTATTCGATAACCAGTATACTGGTAATATAACGTGAATATAAAACAACGTTTTAGCAACACTTGTAAATTTAACACATGTTAATTTAACATAGATACCAATAGATTACGACAAGTTTGTGTGCAACCGGGCATAAATCTCTAAAAATACCGACTCGATTTACGCCCGTTTTTTTTATATTTTAATTCCTCGAGAAAGGACGTAGGCCTAATGGTAGATTATTAGAGATGTCAATACGAATAAATAAATTAAGTGCCATGAGCGACAAGTTGTACCACCCGATGACAGCCAAAATATGTATTTTGTGATGTCCAAAGTTACTACGGTTATCTACGGTTGTATATATATATATATATATATATATATAGAAACATACGATTATAAGTTATAACTAATATTATCGTTTCATTGATTACTGCAAGACATATTTACGATCTGCGGTTGTAGCTGTGACTAACAACCTAATAGTTTTTTAGACATAAAACTATTGATTTTTATATTTTTAATAATAACTTCCATATTAGCATACACACCATTCTTTACTATTTTGTGAAATAACTTATTAAAACATATCAATATATAATTAAACCAAAATAACTAAAGTGACTACTTCTGGTATCCTATCAAAGTTCTAAGAATATCCCACACAAGCCTATCAAATTGATTTGACTTTTATCAAAAAGTAATTTTAAGTAAAAAATGTGCACATTTTTAGGGTGTTCTCGATTTAAACTGGGAAAAGGGGGGTAATATCTTATTAACAAAGTTGCTACATTAAGAAATCGCTCTAGCAGACCGCAGTTTACAAGATATTGTTTATAATACTCGGAAATATAAAAAATGTATAAAAAAAAAAAATAATTATAATAACAATACCGTTTAAACTTCGTATCTAAGCTAAAAATATATATTATTTATAACATACGTAAATATCACTCAATTTCCGATCGAATAAATTGATTCGATATTTTGTTTAACAGTTAAATTGTACATGTAATGAAAGTTGTAAAATTTGTTTAATTTGAGTAATTTTTCAACGGTGAAGTTGGTTCAACGCATAAATTTCACCACCATGACACGTGTGGTCGAGGGGATAATCTTGGAGAGAGAGAGAGAGATGGGAATTAGTATGTTTTTGTATTTTTAATGTTATTAGAGAGTGATTTGCGCACATTGGTCATGATTAAAAACAGGCGCCGAGTGAAAGTATACGTCAGTTTCGGCAGCGGCGCCTCTACTGAAAAACAAACTGACCGAAATCACATTTTTTTTTTAAATTTCCGTTTTCCTTTACGTTTTGCACTTTCTTTCGTGTCTAATGAGGTTAAACTATATCGTGCTAATAGTAGCCAGAATTAACGACCAAACAGTTACAATATACATATTAAATGAAAATCCAATGCATTTTGTTTGTTTTTAAGAACCAAGTGTACTCAGTCATTGTATTTATTATTTTTTGCTTCGTAATCGCTTCTTGCACCTATTGTAGGCCAAACCAAACAAATAGTCATCGCAATAAAAAATAAATACAGTGTGGTCGAATTTCTATCGCGGTATTCAACTCTCTTCGGTTCGCGTTCACTTAAAAATGTAATAACATATACTAATATATAACTACAAACAAATTATAAAAAAAAATTTATTTTAACCATCGCTTAATAGACTGTACTTAAAGATAACTGTAGGAATAGTGAATCAAATTAAAATAATTTTATTGGCTTCATTTTGCATAAATTCATTTAAAAAAATTACATTAAGTATTATAGTACAAGCAGTGGCGTCATAAATGAGGGTTTTGGGGTTCAAACCCCCCGAAATTTGTGGTTGGTACGGCACATGTGCAAATTCATTATTCTTATAATAATTATTTTATAACTCCTCCCCCCTCACTCGAAATTATATCCTATATACGCCACTGAGTACAAGTCCTTGTCTGCTAATGTTCAGTTCTGATAATACATAGGTGTTACCAATACCCGACGATATTTGTTGTTTGAATTTCGAAACAATGAACCCATAATGAACTTGGTTGATATTAAAATGCGTACCAATACATCATTAAGTACAGGCTTTGTTTTATTATTTATGTAATCATAATATAATTATTGATTATCTTGCATACAATATGTACCTCAGTAAAATAACCAATAATAACAAATTGACTTAAAACTAATTAATAACGAACAAATGATGCATTATAGTTATGTATCTCATATTTTTTTATAATTGTTTCTGCTCTTATTATAAAAATAACGTTAATATTTTATTTAGGCTATTGAAATTTGAAAAACGACATATTTTCTTTTGTAATGAGTATGTTTTTTTTTGTTTTATTTTCAGAAAGGGGACCGCTCCTTGTTGGCTCAGTTTTTTTATGCCGATGACGAACTGAACGCAGTTGCAGCAGAATTGGACAGTTTTGATGGTAAAAAAGATCCACAACGATGCACTGCCCTTGTAAATCACTTAAGACAATGTCAAGACAAGGTAAGAAACGTTATCACTGAGTGATAATCACAAATGTGTTAAATGTTAATTATTCAATTTGATTTTAGGTATTGACCATTTGTATAAAAATAATGAATGAATTAATACCTGGTGAACGAGCTAGTCGAGATTTCCGTGTCAAATTTCCAGACGATGTAATCCAAGATAACCTAGCGGGACAGTTGTGGTTTGGTGCTGAGGTAACTATTATAGACTGAGCTCGATCAACATTATGATCACCAACACAAGTGATCACCGCACGTCACGACGAGCTCTCTATAGAATAAGATTATCATTTTTGTACATTAACAATATCGTTTGGTATACTTCCTTTTCCATTTGAGGGGGTTAAAACTACAGTGGTGTAAATCACATTAATATTAATTATAGAAAAACAAGATTTAATAAAAACTTTTTCATTGTGCTGCCCTTTGGTGGTAGAGGTTACTGTATGAGTTACAGCTTAATTCACTTTGCCTTTTGATAAATTGACTTCTTAAGATATGCTTAGAATACTTAACTCAACTTTTATGGAAATGTGACTTACACCACTATGGCTTTAACTTAACGCCCTCATTTAAAATTTCTGTCACGTAAAGCAATAAATAGTAGTCATTTTATATGTTTATTTTACGATGATGTTAAAACAGTTTGAAATTAAATTGTTTTAATATTTTATAAAACGGTTAGGTTAGATTAGGCTGGGTTTGAATTAGATCCGATTTGCAAATTTATATATACATATACATATACATATACAATAAATCGGTTAAAAAAATCGTCACTACACTGATTTAAAATTGTTTTGCTAGGCGACTTATTATTAATTATTTGTTTCAAAAGAATGCCGTTATTCAGGGTCAAATGGAACAATTTGGGTAACTTAGAACTTTGTGTATTGGTACCTAAAGTTACATTTTATAATATTAATTTTTTTGTGAAACAAATTTACAAACTTAAACAAAATTAGTTATGAAAAAATTTACGATTACTTAACAACTTAAATAAATAAAATTAATTTCTCCAAGTTGGACACCTATTCCATTTCAGTTGGGTTAATGGCAGTATCTAATAATGGATATTATCACTCAATTTTTACACTGACTGTAATTTTTTTTTTTGTAATAATATTTAATTAAGTAAATACTTACTTTAATTTTAAACTGTTTTAACATCATCACAATAATTTAATCGTTGTCTAACAATTTTGTAACATTTTGCAGTATAATTAATTTAGAGAAGCTAACAATAAAAACTAAATGTACGAGAAGATACTGTAATGTTTAAATTATTATAATAATTGATCATATTCAACTTTAACTCTCACTTTATGGGAGTCGAAAAACTACTCTCCAGCAGGCTAAAATTAGAAAAATAAATTACACACATTTAATTATTTCAAAGTTATAAACTATAATAATATAATAACAAAAAAAAAAAATACATGCCATAGTTAAAATATTATAATTATTATTTAAAACCCTTTTTTTTGTTATATGGGTTGACAGCTGTTTTCTACTCTAAACTAATCTTTTTTTTAAGTTAAAATATTTAAAGACAATTAGGATTTTTTTTTTTTTGTATTGTAAATAAGAAGTAAAAATTGTTTATCTTGTCAGTCTATCGAAGACGTTATTAAATTGTTTGCCTACAATTTTTGCAGTGCTTATCAGCGGGATCGAGTATAATGAATAGAGAAGCTGAAAGTGGAGCAATGAGACCATTAGCTCGAGCATTAACCAAGTCATTGGAAAAAGTCCGTGGCTTATTAAGAGACGCCAGTCTTTGTAGTGACCAAACGCCGCCGTGTCTACGTAACCTAGTATCATCCTTATGCACTTTTGACCACTTACTAGCCGAATTTGAATTGCGATATGTATCGGCAATGGTTCCTGTTAAAACTGCTCATGAATACGAACTGCAACAGCTTGTAGTTGTTTTATTTTCAGAAACCCTCCAAAGGTGATTGGAAATTGTTATAATATTATTACATTATCTTTGAACACGTATAACTCAGAGTGGATGAAGTGTCTAACTTAGTAAATGAGGTAACAATTTGAAGGTCCGATTCGAGTATACATTACATCAGATGATGACCGCCGCCCTCACATAAACTCATTTGGGGGGAGGCGAGACTGCAGACGTTTGATATTAATATTAAGATACCTAATGAAATATGTGGTTATATATTCATAGGTAATATGAGAGCAGATAACTGTGTTCATAGATGGATAGTATTATGTAGAATCTATGATGGCCTTTTTGTGTTTAGAAGGGTTGTATAAGGATTTTGCTACAAATTTCTTGGTATAATTTATTTTTTGCTTACATCAGTATTCTATGAATAAATGCCCAAAAAACAGTTATTTGTGATAAGTGTTATACGGCTCATTTTATTATCAAAATTAAGACCAGAAATTGTTGGTATCCATATTTTATCTATTTCGAACCAACTTAAAGGATGACCCATAAAAATTCCAATTCACTCAAAATAAGCACCACCCTATCGTAGATTACAGTTGTAAAAAAAAAAGTATATTTGATTTTGTTAAGCATTATTATTATTATAATTGTCTTATTTTAGAGCTCTCGTCAAAGGTCTTTTACGTCAAGAAATGGTGGATGATTATGATCCTGCTCTTATGTTTACCATACCTCGTTTGGCTATAGTAGCTGGTCTGCTATTCTATCCTTGCATATCTCCTTTGTCTCTCGATCAAAACCCTTCAAATATGTCTGATATGTTCCGTCCATTTCGGGTAAATAATTAGATATTAGAGTTTAAAGTATTAAACTAATAATATATTCTTTAATAATTTTTCTTTGTTTTTTTGTAGTCTTTATTAATAAAAATTCGAGAGCTCCTGTGGACATTGTCGGATAAAGAACTTTCAACTTTGGAAAGAATGCTTTGTTCTTCGGACGAAGTCAAATTTGATGAAAACATAAAGAATCAGCGCTCAATGTATATTTATATTTTACATTAAATTTATTTAAATTTATTGATTTGTTGTAGAGCAACTTTAACCAACACTGTCATATTTTAGGTGTCGTGATACAAGTGATGAGGATTCTGAATGCCTTTCGTCCAGTACTACAGAGTTAGTAATGGGTAGAAATGTTACCACAATAGAACATTGCAGTACTAAGGGATTCCCTTCGTCATCACCTCAAGACTTAATAAATAATAATCCCTCAACTAAGATTACTAAGTTTGAATCCACAATCATATCGAAAACAAATGATCTTCAAAATAACGAATTAAAAAGTACCGTCGCGTCCAGTACATCTAACGAGTGTTTGGAATCTACCAGTGTGCCAGATTCTGACCTAACCGAATCTTTAGCAACTGCAACTGAAGCCTTAACCGAAATATTAGTAAAAACTGAGTTACATAATGAAAACAACAACATTAATATGGCATTAGATTCAAATGGTAATAACTCAACTACAAAGCAACATCCTAATGTTTCGAGTAGCTCTACACAAACCGACTGCCCACCATCCAGTTCCGTGCACATGTGTTGTTGTAAAGAATGGAATTGTTGGAAATCATCTGATGACAGAAAAGAAAGGTGCACTAGTTCAGTTCACTGCCAATCTAATCGTTGTAATCACAGAAGAAAGAATTTCGACAATGATGTTATACAAGAAAATACAAATTGTGCATGTAATGTAGCTAGATACAGTAAAAATTGGAGAGAGTTGCGAAAAGCGACTAACAAACGTATCAACGTTCTTAGTCGTTTACAAAGTTTTAATCGTAATTCTAAACCTGTGTAAGTAATTATGTTGATGTTTAATCAATGTATGTATTATTTCAAAAAAATATAAATTATTGACTGAGAATAATCATATAACATGCTTTTAGGATAAAAAAACATGAAATGTGTTCGAGTTGTTCAAGTTGTACGACTTCGTCAGCTGATGAAAGCGATGAGAGTATAACTGATAGCTCATCAACAGATAGTTCCTCAAATTTTTCATTGCGGAAACAAAATGCACGAGCAAAATTTAGGTACAACTTATTTACAATATATTTATAAAACTATTAAAATGTTTTGATTTTGAAAACTTTATTATATAAACTGTTTTTAAATGTTTTATGGCCGTTCTCACCAGTTTGGCTCTTAATTTATGAAATAGCTTATCCTAAAAAATTGTATATTATTTAACTATACTTTATTTACATCCATGAACTATTTTGAAGTATAAAATGCTTGCACTAGGTAATTGAAAAACTTTTAAATATTTCAATCACTTAATATAAACAAAGTAGTTGAGTAAAAATCAGTTATTTCAGCTGTCTAATATATTTACTGAAAAAATTACTTCTGTAAGGGTCGACCTTAATATCTAAATGCAAAAACGATACATGAACTAAGAAAAACAAAATTCTCTAAGAACTAAAATTGTATTAATTATTTGTTTCAAAAGAATGCCGTTATTCAGGGTCAAATGGAACAATTTGGGTAACTTAGAACTTTGTGTATTGGTACCTAAAGTTACATTTTATAATATTAATTTTTTTGTGAAACAAATTTACAAACTTAAACAAAATTAGTTATGAAAAAATTTACGATTACTTAACAACTTAAATAAATAAAATTAATTTCTCCAAGTTGGACACCTATTCCATTTCAGTTGGGTTAATGGCAGTATCTAATAATGGATATTATCACTCAATTTTTACACTGACTGTAATTTTTTTTTTTGTAATAATATTTAATTAAGTAAATACTTACTTTAATTTTAAACTGTTTTAAAATCATCACAATAATTTAATCGTTGTCTAACAATTTTGTAACATTTTGCAGTATAATTAATTTAGAGAAGCTAACAATAAAAAGAACTAAGAACTAAAATTGTATTGTAATTGTTACAACATATGAAAAATATGTTAAAATATGTATAAATAACAAATTACTTATTTTTTACTTATACAATATAATGCTTGTTATTAGGTCTGATGAAGACTTGCTGCATCGATTATTTGTTTGCATTTCTGGTGTAGCGGATCAGCTTCAGACAAATTTCGCTGGCGATCTACGCAATATACTGAAAGCTGTGTTTCTCATGTCCAACTCCAGTTGTAGTACTGACAACCATCAAAGTGCAGGTATGCTTAAATAATATATAAAATTTATATTTTTTAAATTAAATTCTTACTTTGAATTTTTGTATTGTTGTGGAATGTGGAGAAGTTTTATTAAACTATATTGTTAATTATTGAGTGCAAATATACAATAGAAGAAGTTATAGTGTTTGGAACAAATTTGTCTAGTTATAAAACTTATTAAATAATGTTTTTCTATGGGGTCTATTATGCTGACTTTTAATTTAACTATTAAATCATTAGTTAGATCTATTAAAAAAACTAAAAAATATTAATTTACAGTAAAATTAAAAAAACTAAAATAAAATATCGGCTTTTTATCCCCATTAAGGAAATGTTAAACTTAATAACAAAATATTTTAAATAAAAATTTGTAATATCACTATTTTTGAAAAAAAAACTAAACATATTCAACGGTTTTAAACACATTTATTCTCAATCAAATTAATTAAAACTAAATTTTCAGTTATAACAATTCCTAACGACTTTGTGACCTCTCCAACCATATATGCTCTTGCGACCAACCTATGCCAGGAGTTTGCTGTGCTAGCTTTTCTTAATATTTTATTTATATTTTTACAGAAATTATGTCTGAAATTGAAAACTCAAATGTTAATATTGAAAACGGAGAAGAGGCACTTGTATGGAGAAGTGAAAATATGGTCGGCGACATTTCATCGGTAACATCAGAAACTCCACCACCATGGATACCTGATAACGAAGCTCCGATATGTATGTCTTGTAAAGCGATATTCACAGTTGTCAGAAGACGCCATCATTGCCGAAATTGTGGAAAAGTATTACTGTATAAGAGTTGATTTTGAAGTAATTTTAATTATTATTTTCTTATTTCTTTAGGTATTTTGTTCACGCTGTAGTTCAAATTCTGTGCCGTTACCTAGGTTTGGACATTTGAAGCCGGTGCGTGTGTGTAATAGATGTTTCATTTATCAGGTGACTCCATTCACGTTGGAATCCTCGATCGGACCCGTACCGATTGTGATGCAGTCCTAATAAAAAAAAATTATCATTTATTGCATTGCACTTTTTCCTCACATTCCAAAGAAATAAAGAAGAAACATCTTTATTTTTGTGTTACCATTTTATCTTAATTGACTGTTAGTCTCTTCTCTTCAAACACTTTTGCTATAAGTCTATCTCTGAAAAAGCCTTCTGTTCCTAAATAAGCAAATGTTAGCTTTACGAAAAAGTAAAAACATTTAATACTAACCATTTAAAATTTAAATGATAATTTTTAATTGATAGATAAATGAAATACAATTATTATTGCCATTGATTATTATTACATTGTTATTTTCTTTGTAATAATAATTAATTTTGTAGAAGAACGATTACCCTAATTGTAAATGCGTATAATATTACTCGAAGAAATTCTTTTTTTATAAATAATAGCTCAATAATGTAATATAGCTCATTTACTATTATTATTTTGGCCTTTTAAAGTTATATGAGATTAAAAAATATTATTATTAAATGATAATTTTCTGTTTAAAATGTTATAGACATTACAATTGAAATACTATCAAGAATAATATTCTAATTTATGTAGAGAGCACTGTATTTTTATATATGAGTAAACAAAAATAATAGTTAAATCTTAGTTCTAATCAAGTAAAGCTCATTTAAAAATATTGATTCAGTCGATAATCTGTTTATGTCGAACAACAATGGCTGTGGAATTAATTCTTACTTTGAGTTTCTTCAATATTTATAATAAAAATAATAGAAAAAAAATGATTTTACTAAAATATTGATACGGTTTATATTATTAAAATTTAGCTTTTATTAACTTTTAACCGTCATATTATTATTGTAGAGTAATTATTGTGATCACATCTTGTGCAATTTAATCCGCAATATAGCAATTTTTTGGTTGAATTATAATTTAATGTTTTGAGTTTGAACAGAACACAATTTCTGTGATAGTTGTTACATTACTATTATAATCTTACTTATTGTTAATTTTTCTCCATTGGACAAAAAAAACCATAACGTAAGACGGTACGTTTATTATGCCTGAATAAAATATAATTTAAAGTAAATAGTTAATTATATAGAATTTTACCTAGTTAATTGACCATCAATAAAATGAGCAATTAAAATTGGAAGAATTCATTTTTTGTCAAAATCTAAATAATAAACTGAACAAGTTAAAGTTTTGCATGTATTTTATTTTCATAATATTGTATTTTTTTTTTTTTTAATAACTAGAGTACGTATGGAATTTGTTTATTTTTATAATCTTCGTTGATAATTTTAATCATTTTTCATTCAGATATTTTTTCTTGTCGCTTTTATTTTTAATGTGTTATAAATAAATTTAATATAAGTGTGATACAGATTTTATAGTTTTTGTTTGACAAAGAACAGATTTAATGCATAGTGCGTTTTTGGTTTTTATACTTCTAATTTCTTGTATGTAGTAATAACCTATATATATTTTAATTTAATCTAAATTATATTTTTATTTTGGCTTACTCACAATTTTTTATGAATCGTGTATTGTGTCGTCAAATAACGTGAACTCGAAAACGAGTGTTTTGTACTGTAATTAAATGTTGTATCAGAATTATTTTTTTTTCTTCAATAATTTTAAGTACTATTTATTAAACTATAAATAGTTGTTTATTGATTTTCGGTATTCCTGTTAGACATTATCTAAGAATATGTCATATTATTAAAAATAAGGTCAAGACTATATTAAAACAATTATATTACAAGTTCCGAATTTTAATAATCAATATTATAATAAAATAATTTATTTTTTGAAAACCTAGACTTTTAAGATAGGGAGAAAATTCAAAAAAATCTATTTTGTATACTTTACATTAAATTCTATAGATATGTGTTACAAGCAAGTTATGCATTCTTAGTCAATTAAATCTTGTTATGATATTTTGCTTAACAGTGTTTTTAATATTTTCTTGGACGAAAAGTCTAATTATATAACTACAGTTTTAAAAACATATACATCAACTAAAAAACAATTTTTTATTGAGTTTGAAATTACTGATGTCATATTTTAAAAATTAAGAAATATATTTATAGAAATAACAGAACAGTTTTAGAAATTTATTATCAAAATATATTTCCCGAAAGCTAAAAAAGTGCACTTGAGCTAACCTACCACAGATGATGTCTAACAACACTCCTAAATAATTTTTTTTTCAAAATCAAACGTTGCAGTCGGGTCTGTTTTCGCATTGACCTTCCTCTTCTACGTTTGTCCTATAAATTAATAATTATTGCAAACTGTGAAATGCGTGATGTTCGACTTTTAACGATTCACAATCATACGGATATTCCCGGGTGGGCTTGAATACTTAATTCGGCGGACGACTAATTTTATTTGATGTCAATGGTCCGGTGTGCGTTTTGAACACACGCACTAGGTCATCAAAACAGCCTTTTGGTGTTTTTATAACTTAATAAATGGACGACGGCGGTGTGAGACGTTGCATGTGCAGTTGGGAGCTGGTGCGGTGTGTCGGCTGCATTGGGACGATATTATATGGTCGTGAATCCACAAGGGGAGGACCAGGACTCGTGCACGATAAGTAAGACACCCGTTTTAGAAAACCCGACTATATTGTATTATCGGAGAGAACTAAGCAGTGGTGCGAGACGGACAAAAACAGGCACCCTTCCTCACCCCCTCCGCTGCAATTACATTATAATAAGCTCGTCCTCTCTCTGGCCCGTGCTCGTATTATTTTGGAGTTTTAACAAAATTGCCGTGTAATCGAATTATGCACCCTCAGTCAATATTGTCTTTTTTTATACACGGTGTGACCATAAAAAAAAAATAACGTGCAAACACTATGCACAACAGCGCGCCGATATATTACTCTTTTATTGCATTCTACTTTTCACTTTTATTATTATTTAAATATATATTCCCGTTTCCCATCTAGTCTTCAGGCTGCAAGTAATAATGTTTATATTATAGTTCTATAAATAATATCGAAAAGCGCGCAAAGTAATAACAGTTTTTTTCATTTAACTAATATTGCAACGGCTTACGGGTCGTAAAAAAATATTATTAAATTAAGAAAAAAATTAATTTTTATCTCAAAGATCATCGAGTGTGTTATTCAATTGTACCTGAGATCTTTAACAAAAGAAATCATAATTGTATATGTGATCTAGATAAGACATGTTATTTCATATTACTTTGCAGGTTAATTAATTAACCATTATTATTAATTGCAATTAATGTTATGTTGTACCTAGTATGTACAACAGCGCGTCCGCTGAATGTCACACAGTTGAAAAATTGATACCTACCTACCTAATTTTGACTCGAATGGATAAATATGTTTTGATTATAAACAGAATAATAAATGTTTAATTATTGTAAATTCATACTTCTTTTATTTTTTCCTTTAAAAATGATGTCAAGCTACAACGTTTATAAGTATTCAATAGTAACTAGTCAAATATTCACGTTACTCACTTGACATAGTCACTTTCTGATGGACCGAGCATGGTTTTTATATCTTATAGGAATTAAGAGGTATACCTAGAATAGCCGACAATTTCAACTTTAAAAAGAAAAATTGCATCGTAATGCAACAGCACATACCTACGCAGTAGCCGATGGCATAATTATGACGAAATATATCGTTGTCTTGTTTTTCCTTCTTTTCATTCTATATTACACCAATAGTAAATCTAAACGCACGTACATCTATGTACACGAACACAATGGAAGTATAAATAAGACGTATAATGACTAACCACCGACAGACTATCTTTGTCGCCATTCATTTAACACGAAATAATAGGTAGGCCGCCGACTCTTCTCTGTGTAGTAAACGAAACCGCCAATTTGGGTTCTTCATTTTTTTTTGCGGTTTACATTATACACTGGTAGCGGCACCGGAAACGAAAAAATTGGTTGTACGCACTTAAGTACATTGGTTGGAACACACTACACAGGACAATGTATAATTTTTCAACTTTACAACTAATAAACAAACCGGCCGTCGATCATTATTGCCTAGCGGTTTGTATTTAAACAGCACTAAAAATTATTTTTAATATCATTGTTTCCACTTTCCAACACAAAGTAGGGTTTCTCAAAAACCTTTTCGCACTCACAGTCATGCCGAGCGCCTTATTATTAATATTTACTACCTATGGGCTATGTATTTATTGTTTAACATTTTGAGTGTATAGGGTACAAACTACAAACGTTTAGTTTTGTAGAATCGTTAAAATAATATACCTAACAAGTAATACTTAATTATGTACACACTACACAGTTTGATTAGTAAGATTAATGAGATGGAACGTTTTGCTTTTGGTGAAAAACAGAATAAACATATTTCTTAGAACTCTGAACCAAACGCTAAAACACTATGGAATGTAGTCAGATTTTGTTATATATTTGTTTTCTAGTTAAAAATAGGCCCTATTTTTTTCTAAGCTTATCTTGCTGCTTCCGTTAACTACATCTCACAACCCATCTTTATTCATACCTAATATTCTTCCATCCCTTACCCCTAACGGAGCTTAAAATCATTTCTGACTAGATCACTCTATCGGTGTCTCGAGCGTCATCTTGTTTTTGTTCCACCTGGTTTCCACATTGAGACCCTGTGTACTAGCCGACCCTCCGCTCTCCATACATATCCTATAAGTCAAAGAACTAGTTCTATGATTTATTTTAATCACATTTTTCGTTTATAAGATTATAATATTTAGTTTGATTTTTAGTTAAAGATGTGTGGTATGCTTATTAATTTAGCTTTTAATTATTATTAATTTTAACTTCAGACGTTTAATCTTTATTGGAGAGTTTGTTGGTTTTTAATAAAATAACTATATTTAAATCAGTTAAGTTAGGTTTAATAAACAATAATACAGGATTCAGGAAAATATATATACTAATATACTTCCGCCCCTGAAGGTTGTAGATAAGAAAAGTATTATTATCTACAATACAGCTGTTACGGTAGGGTTAAATGCGTAAGTATTGTGGAAAAGAGATCAAAATAAATATAATATAGTATATACACACGTATAGTTCAATTATTATAAGAATGCCATCTAGGTAGTCGATTGAGGTAAATTTGTTCTGCAGAGAGAACATTAACTATGTTATGCATAAGTTTACAATATTATTACTAAAAAATTCATTGTTAAACCGCGACGCGGTGCTGGGTGAGGATGGGTTATAGTCTTAAGGTTACAAGCCTGTCTCGTATTACATTAAATTACTACTAATAAGTACTTCGTAACATTAATTAAATATACTCGTAGATGTAAAAATGATGTTTAGCATAATATTAACTCGTTCGTGTTGGAATTTATCATTTAACCAGCACGTAGTTATAGCATCTCAAAAAAACGTAAACAAGTATGTATAGAAATAATTAGGCCTGTGCGTTCTCGAGTCTCAAACTGTTTGTATTATGTGATTCAATGATCAATGGCCATCGACAAAATCATACAATATAATACAAATTAAAACATAAAGGATTCACGCATGTGTAGGTGGCGGCGAATACAATATAATTTATAATAAACACAACAGCGAGCCCTTTCACGGCTAATCACTCACTGATGTCTATCGTCATCGTCCGTCGATACATGCACACATACACACACACACACTTGTATATATTATTATACATTTACTATAGACCCGTGAGACGGGGTGCGTTTTGCTGCGACGAATGACCCCCTCAACAGTCGACAATCAACTGCACAGGCTAATCCCATTAAATAACAACGGCGGCAACGACAACAACACATCCGGTCCCGATTAAATCTTTATCCACTTATATTTTCATTAACTAAAACTTATTCCCAGAGCGACCACGGTCGACGATGCACACACACACAAACGGTCATCAGTTCATATAGTTTGCCACCGCCACTGCCGTTTGTCAGCCACCCGGTTAACGATTAACGGTCGCATCCAATAATGTTGTCGTTTGTCATCATAAAAACTGACTGTTCGCAAAGATGACGACTTGTATTAGATAATAGTTGCCTTTACGAAGACTTAACCGAAATCCGGAGGCAAGTGTGAAATAATATATAACATTACGTGTTGGTATTACACAGTTTCTCGGGTTTCAATAATATTCCACAATAATCTTTCTACAACTACACGTCATCTCGCCTCTTCTCGTTCACCATTTATTTAGAAAATAGTTAAATTTTAACTTTCGCAACGCGCACTAAGGCAAATCTATGCCGCCGGATAGCGTGTAATAGTCGGGTAAGTTTGATGGGTTTTTTTTATCGGATCGCCGGCCGTAAAACAATAATAGTGGGTAATAATGATAGTAACAAGAAACGCGATAAAAAAGGCGGTTAGACCGCGATCCAGACCAAAGGAAGTGTTTATGAATGAAAATGATAGCACACCGGTCGTCGCAGGTTTACCTGTATATTATTTAAGTGGTGTACCTACACACAATATAGCTAATGTGTGCAAAAATGTACCCGGACACGCACGCCAATAAAATTGCATGCGTGTGTGTGATAAAGTAAAAAAAAACCAAATTGCGCTTACGTTACTACGTAGTATCAGTACCTGCGACCTCCGTAGTGTAGTACCTATACAAATTATAATTATAATAATAGTAAAAAAAAGAACCGTACTGAAACATCGGTGGTCGTATGAATGGACCCCGTAGACATGGATACCGGGAGGGTGTGTGTAGGTTTAGTTTTATTTTTATTTTCATTCTTTAGTTCGCCCTTTGCCGCCCGCCGACGTCGTTGT